AGCAACAGTAATTATAGGTATTACCTGGAACTACAGAAGACAAAGACTTATACAGGCATATTATTAAATCAGCAATGCTTCTTTAACTTCACTCATTTTGCGTAAGTGTAAAAGTCTTAACTTTTTCTGCAGGTACAAATTCCTAGAATTCCTTTCATAAGTCTGTGGGTGCTGAAAGTTTTCAGACAATACAGTTAGAACAGTGGTATTTGTATGGCCTAACATTTGAAGTGGCAGCTGCCAGATGCCAGCCCCATGAATGTTGAATCTGAAGTACTGTGCATGATGCAATTCAGTACTTTAAGTAGCATTTAAGTATTTTATTGCCACTGAAAAACTACACAAATATTAATAGGTAAACACAAATGGCTTATGCTCACATCATTTGTGAAATCCCTTTCAGCATATCAAAACAGTTAACTTGTTAACTCAGGGCCTGCCGCCTTGCCCACAACCCAACCCTGCCATGGACATGGCCAATTGGTCCCTCCGTGGCCACGGCTACCCTAGCCTGACCCGGCTGGTTGCCACCAGAGTTCACTGGCAAGGGCCAGTTAACCCGTAAGCATACCGGTAAACCTCATGCTTACTAGCATGTTTATTGGTTAACCATTTAACATCCCTAATTGAAAACATATTGTTTGGTATATCTGGACTTCAAAAAGCCTTTAATGCAATCTTTCACAAGAAGTTAAAAAACTAAGGACTCATCTACGCTGGCAAGTTACTGAGCAAAAACTTTCTTGCCCAAGTGTGAAAAATCAATTTCCCTTCCCCCTTGAGCACAGCAAGTTTCAGTGTTGTAAAGCACCAGTGTAGACAGGCTCCCAACTCTGGGAGCTATGCTCCTTGATGAAATGTTTTTAAAAAAGCATCGGGAGAGTTCTCTCTCAGCACTGGCACATGACTACACTGTCACATTAAAGTTCTGCTGTGGCAACACTTTAATCTGGTAAGTGTAGACAAAGTCTGAGTACTCATGGTGTGAAAAGTTAAGTTGTGTCATGAATTAGAATGAGATGAAAGACCAAAAGGAGAGGACTAAATGGTAAACAGTTAAAGCCTTGTGCCAATACAAATGTCTACTCATGGATGTGGATTTCCATGGATAGACATTGGTATCCGCTGATCTGCAGGGCTCTTCTCCCAAGAAACACTGCAGTCAATGGAGAGGAGCATGGTCCTGCCGCTCCTAGGAACCATCACCCCACATCGGCAGCTTCTCTTGGCTGTGTGGTTATACAGGAGGTCCCGCTTTACGACGGTCTGATTTATGACTCCCCACACTTACGACCTTTTCCATAAGTGCGGAAGGGGCCGAAATCCCCCGACTTATGTCCTTGGCCCTGCATTTACAACAGCATACGACGCCTGTCGTAAATGCGGGCTTGAGTTATGACACCCCCAACTTGCAATGCTATCCTTGGAGCTGATCATATCGCAAGTCTGGGGCATGCTGTACGGCCTCCAGCGGGACTGTACAACCTTAGACAGGAAACACCAGGGTTGGGGGCTAAAATGCAGTGAGAAGCTGAGAATAGGAAAAGAGTTAAGTAAACTCAGTTTTCAGAGGGGTTTTTTTTTTTTTTTTGGCTTAAAGGACATGTACTATCACCAGAAAACCTTAATTAACCAGGAAACGGAATACAGTTTTTTGTCATGTAATAAAGAGAGATGAAAAAAAGTACTGAAAACATGGTAATGCATGAATGGAAGGGACACCCTCACCTTGTGCTATATGCACAGCTCTGGTCACCTCAACTCAAAAGAACAGAAATAGAAGGTAGCTTAAACAGGCAACAGAAGTTATTAGAGATAGGGAGAGAGACTGAAAAGACAAGGAGAGTTTAATTTATAAAGGCAACAAATAGAAGAGAAGATAATAGAAATATGTGCAAACAGATGCCACAGTGAAAATAAATTGAGTGTTACAACTTACCACTCATAATACAAAGGGGCATTCAACAAAACGGAAAGGAAACTAATAACGGATTTTTTTTAAATAAGATGTAGAACTTATTTATAAGTGATATGGAGAAAGTGAGGTGGCAAAATTTGCAGATGATACCAAACTGCTCAAGATAGTTAAGACCAAAGCAGACTGTGAAGAGCTTCAAAAAGATCTCATCAAACTAAGTGATTGAGCAACAAAATGGCAAATGAAATTTAATGTTGATAAATGTAAATTAATGCACATTGGAAACAAATAATCCCAGCCATACATACAATATGATGGGGACTAACTTAGCTACAACTACTCAAGAGAGAGCTCTTGGAGTCATTGCGTATAGTTCTCTGAAAACATCCACTCAGTGTGCAGCGGCTGTCAAAAAAAGGACAGAATGTTAGGAATCATTAAAAAAAGGGATAGAGAATATCTTATTGATTCTATAGAAAGCCATGGTATGCCTACATTTTGAATACTGCATACAGATGTGGTTTCCTCATCTGCAAAAAGATATCTTGGCATTGGAAAAGGTTCAGAGAAGGACAACAAAAATGATTAGGGGTTTGGAATGGGTCCCATATGAAGAGAGATTAAAAAGACTGGGACTCTTTAGCTCTGAAAATAGGAGACTAAGGCGGGATATGATAGAGGTGTATAAAATAATGACTGGTGCGGAAAAAGTGCATAAGGAAACGTTATTTACTTGTTCCTGTAATATAAGGACTAGGGGGTCACCAAATGAAATTAATAGGAAGCAGGTTTAAAACAAACAAAAGGAAGTTTTTCTTTACACAGTGCAGTCAACCTGTGGAACTCCCTGCCAGAAGATGTTGTGAAGACTAGGACTTTAACAGGGTTCAACAAAGAGCTAGATAAATGAATGGAGGTTATGTCCATCACTGGCTATTCGCCAGCATGGGTAGGAATGGTGTCCTTAGTCTCTGTTTGTCTGGAAATGGATGACAGGAGAGGGATCACATAATGATTACCTGTTGTGCTCACTCCCTCTGGGGCATCTGGCATTAGCCACTGTCGCAGACAGGATACTGGACTAGATGGACCTTTGGTCTGACCCAGTATGGCCATTCTTACATTCTTATGACAATTTAAATATCCAAAATAATTAAATGCAAATAAGGGACTTTAGAAGAGCTTTAACATAAAGGCCATGAAAGATCCCATGGTTTTTTATGGTTCTTATGAAGACCAGGTTGCTAAACCATTTGCACTGACTAAATTATAACTCTAGCTTGAACTTCTAGATCTAAAACTGAGCTTCATCTTTCCTCTGACCTTCACACTCAGAATAACCATGCCATTTTTGTCTTTTTTCTTTCTCCTGTTACTTATAGGGTGTAGAGAAGGAAAGCTATTGTTTCACCCTGGTCTGTCTTACTAATGTAAGATTATTCCATAACATACAAGAATTAGGGACTAGTAAAATCTAGTTTTACATTTGTAAAGTAATGGGATACTTCCCTGGGGAGATTATTCAATAAACTACACCATGTTATCAAGGAGTATGCATGCAGATGTTCAGTCAACATTTTTCCTTTTTAAATCTCATCCTAGTGCTCACTCCTAGTTATAGCTCCTTTTATTATGCTAAGTCTTCTTCTCAGTGTTTATAATCCTTCAGATATGTATATATATTTAAGTCTCCATCAAAACCTGCTACTTCTTTACATCTCTGAAATTATTTTATTCCTTTCTATACCTTCTTGCACTAACATGTTAGCCTACACTAGTGATTTCCCAACTTTACTCCTGCATGCCTTCCCATGGCTACTCTCTACAAAAGCTTCTCCCCATGACCATTCCCATTTATCCACTCCAATGTTTGTTACAAAAGATAAATCAACTTTTGTCTACATCACCATCCCTAAAACCTTCCAAATATTGATGCCAAGCTTTCTCCCACTCATTCAAAACACTTCGGAAATCATACCTAATCTGAGAATCATCCAAACTATACTTAGCTTTTTAATTTTTTCCCCCGATGCAAGATTCCAAACACCATGGAGAAGTATCTGTTTTATTTCATCCTGGTATAGTAGGCTCTAATTCTGCAAATAAGACCACTTCACTTTAAGCCCGCACATAAGACTTTGCAGCATATGGACCCTGCCATACAGCATAATGTATACACTATGACCACTATCACCATTAAATATGACACAAAAAATATGCAATTATGGGGAGGGGAATAAAAAAGGTCAACAATTGGTGAAGAAAGTTAGATCTGCACAAAAAGTACTTTTCATAGCACAATCAGCAGTGCCACGAATATAATGCGAGTATCTCATCTGCTCTGATCCAAAGCCATCCCTATGCAAAAGTCTGACAGCTTGCTTTCCCACCTTCAGCCCCTAAAAAAAATAAGCCCATCTTGAGTAATAAGTCATGCCTCTATTAATGTTCAAAAAAGACTCTGCGAGGAAGGATACAACTGCACTTTGCCTTCTGTATTTTAGACTTTCACTTCTCCCTATTTCCCCCACAACGGGCAGGGAACGTGCCTCACTTTGTTTAACTATGCAAATTCATAGCTAGGCTTAGAGAAATTTCATTTTATATATAATTTCAACAGTATCAATTACTAGCATTTTCAATTTTTTAGCCATTTAAATGTTTGCAGTTGCAAAAAATTATGGAAGGCTCAGAGAGTGGGAAGAGGTCAGACAATAATTATTAAATGACAACAGATATTGACTTTTAAAAACTGTTATAACCATTACAACACAAGCTGTCAACATCCCATGTCAACACAAATCCTACTTTGCCTGTTTATATCGTTTCTGATTATCATTGATGGAGTTTTTTTTTTAAATCAGTTTTGCTTGTGTACAGTGAAACAGACACACACCAATATTTACGGATACACCACCAATCTTTCCAAGCCTCCGTATGGTTCAACGTGTTTAATTTTTGACTACATCTCCCATTTTGTACCCGTCAGGTCCCACAGCCATCCCAATGTCCATAGCCAATAGTTTATGGCCATCACCCTCTCCAGCAGGAACACATCCCCAAGATACCCCCAGTCACCGACCAGCATGCCAGCAGAACGGAGCCTTGTGCACATCTACTCTGAGGGCCTGTGTAATACGGACCAGAGGGCTCCACTGAATGAGGGCCTGTTTAGCGAGCCCCTAGCTCCTGCCTGGAGCGGGGCTGGGGTCAGCCCCCCCTGGGATAACCGGTTATCAGCTTACACCGCCCCCAACGCCGCGTTTGGGGGCAGGGGCCGTTAGTTTCTCCCCCTCACAGCTGGAAAACAAGGGGAGGAGCTGCGGGGCCTTCTTTCCCGTCCCACTAGGGCTGGGGGGCGGGAGAAACCCCCCCGCGCCGGCGGGGGGAGGGGTCAG